TTCAAGGATGCGATGCTCTATGGAAGGGTGCAAACAATTACTCTGGAGGAGGTTCGATCTCTGATTAGAGCCAAAGAACTTCAGAGGAAGCATGATAGGGACAAGGAAGTCAGCGGAGACAGTCTTATTGTCAGAGGAAGATCGGACAAGAAAGATTCAAGAAATGGTCGGTACAGATCAGGGTCAAGCAAGGATGGCGGGAATCAGTCATCAAGGGGATCTTTTAAGTGCTATCATTGTCACAAAGACGGTCATTTCAAGAGGAACTGCCCCGACAGGAAGAATAAGTATCAAGAAGAGCCAGAAGAATCAGGAGAAGCAAGCGTAGTCTCTGATGACTACGATTCTGCTGAGGCCCTGGTGATCACAGAATCTAAATCCAGTAAGGAGTGGATCCTCGACTCAGGGTGTTCTTTCCACATGTGTCCTCACAAAGACTGGTTCGAGACACTTTTTTTTTTTTTTTTGCAATACTCCTTCAAATCTATAATTAACTTCATGTTATCCTTCATTTTCCCTTTCATATCACTAAAATTGTTGAAAAAATTTTCAGAAAAATTTTTTCTTGATATAAATAATATTGAGATTATGCTCAAATTAAATTGTCCTCCAATATAAAGATCCAAACAATATTCTTATTATTCTAATTATAGTCAACACTATAATATAAAAATTTTGTTATCTAAAACTATGGGGGTGTTAAGAACCCTAAAAGTCTATGAAATATTTTGTCAAAATTATTCTCCAGCCAATCTTGGCGGGGATTTAAATATTTTAACTCTATTGTTGAGGAACGTTTGCCTGTTCCTTCTAAATTTATGATTGATAGATAGATATATAAAGATGCATACAATGACAATCAAAAATTAAAATTTTTGTAACATTCTTCATTTTAAATGACTTTTATAAGTTTATGCAAAATAAAAATGCTAATTTTTTTGAAGTGCTTCAGCTTGATCACTTACACTGAAAAAATCATTGATAGTCATTTAAAAATTTAAAATTTTGATATATCACATACAAACACATTATTCTCTTATAAAGTTTTTAGCATATCTATTTTTAATTATAACTAAACATCAATTTTTTTGTTAGAATTTTGTGGTCTAGGATTAATATGAGTTAGAAACATATAAGGGGTAATCATAAACATCCATGAAGTAAGTTATATGGTGCAATGATTACTGGCCAATATATTAAGGTGAGGCAACCTAAATATAAAGTGTGAAACCATTAACATATAAATAAAGTTAGGCATTTTGTGGTTCAACAACAAACTTTTGATACATAAAATGAAAGTGCTAATACATACTTGACCTTGTATCGGATGGCTCAGAATATTTGATTTAAGTGTTTGTTGTTGATGTTGTCTCATATATATACTTGAATGAATGCATAAAATTTTTGAAGGAGGGGAATGCGAGACAGATAAAAAGGACATGTTGTTTAGAATATCCATCTATTTACATTGTCTTCAATCTTGTGGCTTGAATCTTGTGCGTTCCTTATAGTGGCTTGCATAAAATCATGCTGCCAATCTGATTCATTCAAGTAATATTTCTCTTATGTTTTGATAGCTGCATTTGGTTTGTTTTTCAATAAGCATAAACCTAAGACTATATCTTTTAATTACCTATAGTTTTGAAATTAATTTAATATTCAGGTTCATTAGTTACTGGACATATTTGACCATATATATATATATATATATTCAATAAAAGAATGGTCAAAGACTATTATATGAGCCTCAATCATCCCTCATGCGCCTAAAAATTTAAGTACCACAACCTACACTCGGGGGGAATCAATATCCGACCAACTGATCTAAGCACACGACGTATGTATATATATATGTATATATTAAAAAGATTGATCGCCGATCAACCTCATAGTCTGACCGAGGAGCAGGCCTCCCTTCTAGAAAGGTGTACAATTCGATCCTACGCAGGTATTGGACACCCGACCCGGAGAACTTTAACCAAAGGCCGCAACCAATGAGCTATGCTAAGGCACGTATGTATATGTATATGTATGTGTATATGTATATATATATATATATATATATATATGTATATAACACAATGGCCGATCAAATCTATTTTTAATTGAAATATCATCTAATCATTTTTCTTGACGCATTGAAGTAAAATTTTTTGGCTGAAGTAAGAGAGAGACATTAGAAAGACAAAGCTCTATTAAATATGAGCATTATTAGCTATTGTACCTCACTCGTATGATAGTTATAACATTTATTCTACACTTTATTTGAATGTCTGGATATTTCTGAGCAGTTGAAGAAAAACATCATATTTGAATTGCAGTTTTTAAGCTTTGCTTTCATAAATTTTCTAGATAAATTCATTTGAGATGGCTAAGCTTTTTCAACTTCAATTAAGGAATATTTCTCCAAATTTTTCATCAAAATCACATAATTGGCAGAAAAAAGATCTGACAATGTTAAAATACTCCTCCTAGTTTTTATCACCATAGTAATTTTCTCTGAAAATTTAACATTTATATATATTTTTACAGAAAGTAAGAAGCATAGAGCAGTAGCTGAAGAGATTTTAAAGATGGGCAATGGAAATCCGACTACTAGAGTCTTCTCCTTTGCAGAATTATGCTCTGCAACCCAAAACTTTAAATCAGATTGTTTGCTTGGTGAAGGTGGATTTGGAAGAGTGTACAAAGGCCATCTTAAAGACACAAATCAGGCAATTAGATTTTAATCTTCTCTTCCTTTGTGCTTGATCAAGATGGTAATTGATTTCCACATATTGAAGCTATTTTCTTTCTCATCTTGTTAGGATATTGCAGTCAAACAGCTTGACAGAAATGGACTTCAAGGAAATAGAGAGTTCCTTGTTGAAGTATTAATGTTGAGCCTTCTTCACCACCCAAACCTTGTCAACCTACTTGGATATTGTGCTGATGGAGATCAAAGAATTTTGGTTTATGAATATATGCCAATGGGTTCTTTAGAGGATCATCTCCTGGGTGAGCTATGAAAAATTTAATTGCATTCTACACTATTCTAACAAGCATCTAAAACAAGATTGGCCTAATACATACATCTAAGTGTGTGAAAAAAGTGTGGCTAAGACAAGCATATATTTATGACGGGGTCATCATTATAAATATATTTGTGTCGCATGTCCTGACTCATTGGTTGTCGTCTGCAAAGTCAGTTCTAATTCCCCCGAGGGTCTGGGGTTCAAACCCGTCTATGTGTGGATAAGTCAAGTGGTTAGACACGTGAGGTTGGTTAGGGGCTTGTATTATAGCCGCTGTAATGTATATATATATATATGTGTGTGTGTGTGTGTGTGTGTGTGTGTGTGTGTATGCGTGCACGTCGTTGGCAAGTCGGTAGGCAACTACATTGTCAGTCGTAAGACTCTTACATGAGGTTGGTTATGGGCTTGTATCATAGTCTCTGACCAATTTTTTTAATATATATATATATTTGTGTGTGTGTGCGCGCGCGCCCTCCCACACGCATGCTCTTCATTGGCAAGTCGGTAGGCAACTACGTTGTCAGTCGTAAGACTCTTTTGACTTGATTTCGATCCCTATGGGGATGGATAACACATATTGGGAGCGGTGTTCTCAAATACCCATATATATATATAGTGATAATAAAATATGCATGCATGCATAAAATTAATTTTCTTCACAAGTTCAAAAATATATTTAATGGGTAATTCTTTGATTATGACAATAAATATACGTTTCTCTTGACTTTTGTAGAATTGCCACCAAACAAGAAGCCATTAGATTGGAAAACAAGGATAAAGATAGCCCAAGGTGCAGCAAAGGGCCTGGAATACTTACATGAAATAGCAAATCCACCGGTGATATATCGAGATTTCAAAGCATCAAATATTCTTCTCGATGAGAACTACGAACCAAAGTTATCTGATTTTGGCTTGGCTAAGGTTGGTCCCATTGGGGACAAAAGTCATGTGTCCACTAGAGTGATGGGTACTTATGGCTATTGTGCACCGGAGTATGCCATGACTGGCCAACTAACAACAATGTCAGACGTGTATAGCTTTGGTGTTGTGTTCTTGGAAATAATAACGGGAAGGAGAGTAATCGATACCTCCAGGCCTTCAGGAGAGCAAAATCTAGTGCAATGGGTATGCTTGTGTATTATTTTCTTCTTCTGTTTTTGTTTTAATTTTTAGAATGTTCATATAACCAGGTAAAAATACCATGGTTATGTTTAGTCTGAAGAGTAATAATAAAATTTAAGATAATGATTAGTTATTAATATGCTCTTACTAATTCATTACCATAAAATAGTTACATATACTTCATGTTGTGAATATAGAAATCGGTCCACTGTTTAAATTAGCTTTTCTCTCATGTTTGACAGCAAATTGGATTTGATACTCGAAATTATTTACTCTTAATTCTTTCTATGAGTTGCTGCAGAAGAGAAAAGGAAAAAAATTAATGAGTTTCATTAATTATTTGATTAATTTCTTAATGAGTTTAATGACATGATGAAATTAATAAATAGTTATGCTAGCTCCCCTTGTTATCTCTTTTCGACATTGGTAGCTTTCCAGGTTCTTTTTATGGTGTGCTTTGATTTGAAGCTCTTGAGTAGAGAGAGAGAAGGAGAGAAGGAGAGGAGGACAGGAGAGAGAAAGAGTGCTTTCTTGCAAGTCGACGTGGTTGACGATGTAATTCCTCAAGTGATAAAATCCTCTGCAGCTCAGTGAACATATGCAAATTTGCCGAACCACATAAATCTGTGTGTTTCCGCTGTGCTTTTTGTTTGCGAATTTTTGCGAATTTTTTTTTCTCGTTCCAAATTTCGCTTTATTGCTGTCATTTTTCACAATACTTTACACATGGTTATTATATGTTTTCCATCTATTTTTATATGTTTTTCAATTGTACAACAATAAGTTTTCTTTTTTTTTTTCAATCCATAAAAGTAATGATGGCTTCAATATGAAAATTTTGCAGGCAGAACCACTTTTCAAAGACAAAAAGAAATTTGTGGAGATGGCAGATCCTTTGCTTGAGGAAAAGTATCCCATAAAAGGGCTATACCAAGCTCTTGCAGTTGCAGCAATGTGCCTTCAAGAAGAAGCATGCACTCGTCCCCTCATAACCGATGTCGTGACCGCTCTCGAATATCTTGCTCTCCCTAAGCTCGACCTAGATAAATCGAAGGAAAGGGGGAAAGAAGAGGATATTAACAAGGAGAAAGAAGAGGACTCTGTGCAGTGACCAATAATGAATGAGAAAATGAACATAAATACATTGTTTAATTTGATTGAGTACCTTTATGTGCTGTAAATTGATATTATTCAAGGGATGATACTTTGATGGCTTATTGAAGCATTTCTTAGAAGCTATATTTTTATCATTCAATTAGAGTTCAGGTTTATTTGGTTGCTTGAAGTTAGAAATCATGTTTTTAGAAATGATGAAGTTTGATGAATTCATTGTTGCATATTCTTGTGCTAAGAATATTGAACAATTAAATCATCTTTTTTATTTACAAGTGACAAAATGAGCTTTGTAAGTTTGGGTTGGGTTATAACAACATATTAATTAGCTTATGTTTTCCAGAATATGAGTTATAATTTAGTAGAATTTTAATGTTTTAGAATTAAAAATAATTAGCAATTGAATTATATCTTATTTAATACTAAAAATAAGTTAGTTCAAAATATTAATCATCACTATGACTTAAAAAGTTTACTCTAACAAAGGATTGTATTTCATTACAGTTTAGAAGGACTTATAATGCTATTTTTTTGGGCTTCCTATCATCAAGATATCTCGCTATACATTTCCAAGATGCTTTGTCTACTGCTTGAAAAATAATAAGTAATGATCGCGATGCTTGTCCATTAACAATGTTAAGATTTTGCCCAATTTTTTGCACTCTTACTTTTTACATATGGTTCAAAAAGATAAGAGGGGACTTAATGGCTCTTGAGCCATATTTACTTCAAAAATTGATTTCTTCAATCATGTTTTATTTTTATATGATTCGTTTGATTTTATTCAAATATATGAGACTGTATTAGTAAGTTAGTGTGGTAAAAGTATTCATAGTTTTATATATTGATAGTTACATTGGAAATGGGTAGATCAATAGATATTGAACTAAACCACTAACTTGTGCCACATATGATAGATCTTTTTCTTGGTGAAACTAGGTGGAACTTTTTTCTTTTGTTTTTTAGAATATGGCTAAAAATTTTTATTCTAACTCATAAAAAATTCTCCTTTAAACATGTTGAACAGAGATCTTTGTAGAAAACTTATTACTTAATTAACGGATTTCATAAGATTTCTTAAAAATTGCTAAACATGATTAGCACTAAACACACCATAATGATACGACAACCATAACAATTCATTCCTACTAACTTTTCTGATCCGATATCAACACATTTTTTTAGTTTTGATGCATATTCATTTAATATCTTCAATAATTGCATTCAGTCATACACTTCCCTTTTGTTGATCCAATGTGAGAAGTTATGTAGCTTTAGGCTTAAAAATTTTCTTACCAGCTATTTCTAGGAGCTCCAATTTATTTCTGCAAAGCTCCTTCAAGTCTATGATTCATTTTCTTTTTCATATCAATGAATTTGAGGAAAATATTTTTTAAAAAAATCTTCTTGATATAAATAAAATAATTAATTTGTCATCCAATAAAAAAA